GGACGTGGATTTTTCAAAGACCATCATATTTCTGAGGTCATAGTCATAGAACAGTTGGGGCTGGAAGGGACCTTTAAAGGTCATCTGGTCCAACCCCCTGCAGTGAGCAGGGACATCTTCAACTAGACCAGGGTGCTCACAGCCCCATCCAACCTGACCTTGAATGTTTCCAGGGATGGGACATCTACCATCTCTCTGGGCAGCCTGTGCCACTGTTTTCACCACCCTCATTGTAAAAAAAAAATTAAAAAAATTCTTCTTCACATCTAGTCTGAATCTACTCTCTTTTAGTTTAAAACCGTTCCCCCTTGTCCTATCACTTCAGTCCCTACTAATAAGTCCCTCCCATCTCTCCTGTAGCCCCCTTTCAGCACTGGAAGGTGCTGGAAGGTCTCCCCGGAGCCTTCTCTTCTCCAGGCTGCACACCCCCAACTCTCTCAGCCTGTCCTCGCACGGGAGCTGCTCCAGCCTCGGACCATCTCCGTGGCTCCTCCGGCCCCGCTCCAGCAGCTCCGTGTCTTTCTGAGACAACCCTGAGAGAGGAGTGACCCAAAGGGAGACAACCCAGAGCAAGAGAGAGCACTTCCAGACAGATCCTCATCTATCCCCTGGCTATGCCATGCATGGGATGGAACAGACCATTGGCCAGTTTTGGTCTCAGTCCCAAACCTGAGGTCAAATCCTGGGCTGGTCCCTGGAGCTGTGCTCCCTCCCAGCTCCTCCTGCCCCTGCAGACACGGGCACAGCAGAGAAGCTGGAAAGTCCTTGACTGTCCTGGCAGCAGCTCTGCCCATCAGTGTGTGATCAGCTTCTCCTCAGCACAAACCCAAACAGCCTCACACCAGCTGCTGGGAAGAAAGTGAACTCTGTCCCAGCCCAAACCAGGACACTCTTGTTTCCCTTTATACCCTTACCCTTCCCAGGGTATAAACAATGACCTTCACACAGCTCTGGCTCCGTTAGCTGTAATGACTAAGGAAACAATTTGTTTGACTTTGAGATGCCCTGAGTACCCTGCCTCGCTCCAGCTCCCAGCTCAACAATGCTCTTGTCTTCTGTAGGCAAGTTTGTCACATCTGCCAGCTCCACGTGGAGGTCTGGAATATCCTAGAGCATCTCAAATGTTGCTGGATTCCCATCTGTGATGGTTGCACTAAGCCTTAATTCTCCGTTGGGTAAATTAAGACACATCACCGAGGTGAGTCTCTACAGCAGGAGTTGAATCCTGTCTGCAATGCCTTGGCAAGGTGCACCATGCTATGAAGGAGACCTGTTCCCTTCTTTAGCATGGATTTAATTACAGAATCACAGAATCACAGGGTGGTTTGGGTTGGAAGGAACCTTAGAGATCATCCAGTTCCAACCCCCTGCCGTGGGCAGGGACACCTCCCACCAGCCCAGGTTGCCCAAAGCCTCATCCAGCCTGGATTTCCATACAAGACCTTGGATAAATCCTTCAAATCTTAGTGCTGCTTCTGTCAAAAGGGGATATTATAAAGCGCACTGTGCTGAAGGTAGGTTAGGCGATGTCTCACTGTAAGCACTTCAGGACACGTTACTAAAAGAACCTGGAGGACTAATGGTGATGTGTCATTCAAGACACATGGGCTTGACTCCTCAACGGTGCTGACTATGGCCCGTGAGTCAGCTCATTGCTTCCGAGCAGGTGGCAGGAGGAGTTCAAGGGCTGTTGTACAGCCTGGAGCAGAGAGTTTGAAGATGACCCCAGTCTATGCCACTCAGTCTTGTTACGGGCAGGTGGGATACAGATCCCACAGATGCAGCCACACAGCTTCCAGCCCCATGGTAGGTGATGTCCTGGCTCAAGAGTACCCACAGAGATGTGGCAGTTGCATGGTGAGTATTTTGCACTCCCAAGACTAAGCACAGAGTGGGAGGAGTGGGAGTGGGTTTTTTGAAGTGACTTCAGTTTGAAACCAACCCCAACCCTTTGATAAACAAACCTTGGAAAGGAGTTGAAACCCACTCATGCTAGATGAAGGTGCGTCAGTCACCGCGTGCAGAAGTTAAAATCAAAATAAAAAAGTACTTCCCATGTGATCCAACTTACCAGGACTTTTTGTTCTACTTATAGTTGGAGAGATCTCTATAGTTGCTTAGAAATAAGGCCTGGAGAAGTGGAGAAGAGAGGAACAGTTTGTCCCACATTCTGTGAGAATTGTACATCGTATGAAGATGTCACAGGCTAGAAGCAACAGGGAAAGATGGGAACGAGAAACCCGTGGTCAAGATGACAAAAGCCAAGTGTGCTTTGTCATTTCAGTCTGTATGAAGTAGCCAGGGAATAATTTCTGTGGCAGCACAGAAGTACTGGAGAAACTTCATATCGCTCCATGGTTCCCGTTGACGTCCACCTACTGTTCGCACCCCCCTGATGCCCAGTTCAGATCCTGCTCGTCTCTAGGATGACAAAATTTGCATTCGCCAGAGTCAGGAATTTTTAAACAATGGCAGGAATATGTCAGAATGTCCAGAGTTTCTTCTCCCCCCCGTCCCTGGCTCAGATCTTAGTGCGAACGAGGAGGCAACGAACTGTTTCACAAGGGTAGGACTCATCCCGCCTGACGGCTGGTGTTGGCGAGTCCCCGCACTCCCCCGTCAGGGGATGGTGACAGACACTTTGGGAGCATGAGTCAACCCCCCCTTGTCCCACACACGGTTCTTAGGACAGGGTGAATCACTTTCTGGGGGTGTCTGCCTCTCTCTGTTGACTCGAGGAGATGTTCAGATGACTATCAGCAGGCATGGTACCGTGCAATACGAGTGACTCAACACACGGACTCATCTCAGCCAGCTCTGTGCCATTTCCAGCAAAGACTGGGATTAGTGCAGGTTTCTGCACTGAAAACGTTACGGTGGGAAAAGCCTTTGTGTGTATACTGGGTTTTTGTTTCAGGTGTATTTTATTCCTCTCTCTATTCTAGAATAAATGAACCCAACAGAAACATTTTCAAGCCGGTAAGACACATCTGTCTCTTGTGGGTTGGTGCTGCTTGAGTTTCAGGATACAGGTACATCTAGTGTCGTACGAGTTTCTAGTATAACAGCGCTAAAATAAGACAACACATGACATCTTTTTCTGCTAATCAAATTTTAAAGTTTTTAAACTGAATAACTAGAAGATAGTGCAACAAATGGTACTTACACACGTAGCATCACTTCCCTTAAAAATTGTGTGGCATTGTTCAGCCTTCCAAAACTGTTATGTCTACCAAAAAGGTAGCACAACTGGTACGTTGAAAACTAATCTAATCTACATCTGTTTGGGGCTTAGTCTGCTCACTTTCAGAAGTTTCCAGCCATTAGAGTCCCCAAGTCCCATGTGCAAGTGTTTCTTATTGAGGACATAGAACTTGGGGAAAATTGTGGGTTTCTTAAAGATGGTGGCCTAAAGCTTCCTTCTTTGATAAGGCCATTGATCTTACTGGTTTCTGGTTTGTTGTTTTTTAAAATTCAGTCTGAAATGCTAATAGTGCACATGGGAGCCCAAAGACAAGGTGTTCAGAGAGAGACTTGAGAGCTGGTGGAGAGGCGTAGTTCTGGTGGACCTGCAGGCTGGGAGAATGCCAGTGAGGGGCTGAGATGGAGGTCTGCCGTCCTTCCTGACCACTTGTTCCATCACCTGTCCTCCAGACATAGTTAGGCTGAATGGGGGGAATCTAACCCCACTGCACTGTGGGGTAGGCAGCTACCAAATCATTTAGGTTCCCAAACATGGATCTTAGTCCATCATCTGTTCCCTCACCTGCAGAGCGGTCATCCAGTGAGAAGCAGTGGGAGCAAAGGAATGAGATGCCAGTGGCTCTTTCTTTTCCCAGGAATCTCTCAATTAATTTTGATTACAATGCTTTGCTCAATGACTTGTTCAGTTTACCCTTGCAATAATCAAAGGTATTGTATTTTAAATAGCTCCTGAAGTGTGACAGGGCACTGTTCTATCCATTGGAACAAATAAATAGTTTAAGTGTTGGTTACGATGGGGAATAAGATCAGGCCCCTTTGGAATACCATGGGGTGCCTGCCCCATGCCAGGGCACTGGGGGATGAGTTGGGCACCGAGGGTGACCCCAGTGCAGATGGTGTCTTCGCTGATGGGAGCAGTACCACAACGTCTGAGTGCACTGGGCAGAGCTCCATGCTGGTGGTGGTTCCCTCAGCTGTCCCAGACATGGCAAGGAGATGGACCACATCCAAGGTCCCTCCAGGGGGTCCCAGATGCGGCTGGAGACATGACCGTGACTTGGATCTGTGGTCCATCCAGGAGATGAGGCTGGAGATGAGCTACCGCCCGTGTAGGTCTTCAGTCGATCCTGGAAACAGGGCAGGGGAGGTGCTGGAGGGATCAGATTCTTTGTTTCAGGACCATTTGGAGGGTATTGATGAGTCTTGTTCCCTGTATTTAGATACTCATCTGCATGGGACCACAGGGTGACAAAAAACTTGACCAGCTGTCTATTTTTTCTGAAGGCGAATGCAAACAGGGGTTCCTGATTAAGGCAGAATCAAGTACAAGTGAATGTTGCTTGCATGAACCTATTTTAGAGTAACAAAGTTCCATGCAGTTACAATGAATATAGATGTCCTGGCGTTGCGATGGTGCGCTCCAGGACAGACCCCTTTCTACAGAAAATAACCTTCATACTTGGGTTGCAGCGTTTGGATGGGATCTGGATTTCAAGTTCTCAAACGTGGATCTAAAGAGGATGAGGACAGGGGCTGTTCCCTGTGAGAAGAGCTGGGGTGGGGTGGCAGAGCCATGAAGATAGGCGTAATGTGCTGTGTCAGAGACCTCCTGAATGAATACAGCATCGTTTCCAATTCCCACACTGATATTTCTGTATTTCTCTCCTCTAGACAACCTGACGTGAGTTGAACCTTTGGGCTACCGAGCCTGCCCCAGATGCAATAATTTAGTGAGCAGATGATGTTTTCAACCAAACCTCCTGTCTAACTCAGTGGATCTGTGTGTCTTCCGGCAGGTGTGTCCTCTGTGGCCTCCCTGATGTCCCTGGCTTGGGTGCTAGCCTCCTATCACAAGCTTCTTCGGGACTCTAGGGACGACAAGAAGAGTATGAGCTACAGAGGGGCCCTCATCCATGTCTTCTGGCGCTTCTTCACCATCTCATCCCGAGTTATTTCTTTTGCTCTCTTTGCTTCCATCTTCCAGCTCTACTTTGGGATCTTTGTAGTGGTCCATTGGTGTGCCATGGCTTTCTGGATCATCCATGGTGGGACAGATTTCTGCATGTCTAAGTGGGAGGAGATCCTCTTCAACATGGTGGTAGGGATTGTGTACATTTTCTGCTGGTTTAATGTCAAGGAAGGGCGGACTCGATACAGAATGTTTGCGTATTACACGGTAGTCCTGACGGAGAACGCTGCCTTGACGCTCCTTTGGTATTTTTACAGAGATCCTGACACTACTGACTCATATGCCGTGCCAGCACTGTGTTGTGTCTTTCTTAGCTTTGCTGCTGGGATAGCTTTGATGCTGTTATATTATGGTGTGCTGCATCCCATGGGGCCAAGAGCTAAGATCCTTGTCAGCTCCTGTTGCGCCGAGCTGCTCTGGGGCATTCCTTTGCCCCCCGATGTTGAGCCCATGGCACCCCAAACCCCTGGGTACCCGGGGGCCCAGGCTACGCCCACCAGAGCGGTCACGGAGCAACAGGAGGAACTCACAGCTGACACTTGCTTGCCCGTTTTCCAGGTGAGAGCAATGGTACCATCTACTCCATCTGGGCGACCCTACCCCCCCGAGGGGCCTCTCATTAAGATTGACATCCCAAGAAAAAGATACCCGGCATGGGATGCTCATTTTGTAGACAGGAGGTTAAGAAGAACTATCAACATCCTCCAGTATGTCACCCCCACAGCTGTAGGTATTAGGTATAGAGATGGACCTCTCTTATATGAGTTGCTACAATATGAATCTTCACTTTAAAAGCTCCTTAAAGCAAAAGTAAAAGAGGGGACCTTATTTTTGTTTACGGTAAACACATCATGAAACAAACACAAACCTTCAGATAAGCTTTCTTTCTGGTTGCTGTATGTATAAAAAAAAAAAAAGATATTCTCTATGTTTTGTAAGTAAAAACAAAAAGAAAAACTTTTCTTTTGTTTTTTACACACAAGAAACAGTATTTCAACTTCCACACCTAGGATTCACAGGTGGAGAAGGAGGCATCTCCACATCAGTTTTATACCGTACACCAAGTGTAGAACATTATTTATGGGATTGGTGCTGATTGAAAAATAAAAAAAAAAAAAAAACAAACAAACAAACCTACAACTGCCTTATGCCCTTAGGTGCTGAGTTTCATTAAGTACTGTCACCTTTCTCATGCAAAACTCTTTGATGATTATATGCCAGGAAAAAAAAAAAACAACCAACTGAAATACAAACCTTAAAATTAAAAAAATAAAAAAACCCACCAAAAAAAAGAAAAAAATCAACAACAACAACAAAAAGAGAGAAATGTATGAAATAAAAAATCTTGTTGCTCTTATTGGATTTGGCAGAAAAAAAACCCCAAATGTCTAAAGCTAAGAAAGCAAAGCCAAGACACCCCCAATGGAGTTTGATTTTTCCAACAGCCAAAAGACAAAATCAGGTCTGTAACCCAGTTTGGCAACGTGTTTATAACACCATTTGGCCAAGCCTGCGAGCCTTGACCGAGTCGTGTCGTAAACGCCATCCCAGCGTGTAACCGTGTTTTCCTGGTGTGAACGGGCCACGCGAACGGTCGGTTTGCACCGGATTAACGTGGCGACACAGGATCTGATCTTGTTTGGAACGATTGCACACGCTGAAACACCACTGTCCTCAGTGGAGTCAATAACAACCGTCTGAGCCCAGAATCAGGGCTGTCACCTTGATTTCTGGAAAAAAAAAAAAAAAATCTGCAACCATCTGAAATTATTAGATACCAAAACCATTCAAGTACATTTCCACATATTTACCAACTCTTTCAGTAATAATAAAACTCAGCATAGTAGCAAAAAGCGAGTCAATTTAAAGGCACAATACTTGATCAGTGACTGGCAAAAGAATTTGACCTACTGTATCATTTTAAGGCTGTGAAAGGCATACATGTATTATTTGTAATCTCGTGTTAAGACCTGTCATGTCTCATTCAGTGCGAGCCTTAAAGTGATTGTAAAGCATCCTTTGTTCCATTTTGGGGGTTTTTGGGGATTTGATTTTTTTTTTGTTTGTTTCGTTTTTGCTTTGTTTTGTTTTTGAAGGAAAACAAAACGTGAAAAACGGGATGATAAAAACAAAAAAAAGAAAAAGCAAACAACCAACAACAAAACAACCAACAAACTTCTTCAAGCGGTAATAACCTGTAAACTGACTCACGTCTCGAGATGATTTGGTGCTTTGTATTTTCGTTGATGTTGTTGTTGTGATTTAGCTGAGAATTCTTCAACTCGGTACATGTGGGGAACTGCTGATAAAAAAAACTGTCTCGTGTCACCCTCTACTGTAAGTACATTGCAAGAAAACAACTCCAGAGGAGATTCAAGAGCGTATAGCAAGAGCATCACGGGTTAGCTTAGCCTTCTCACCGCAAGGAGATGCTGCCACGGCCAATGATGGCAAAGCCTAGACGGTCACCTGCCGAGGGTTGTGTGGTTGTCTTGACATTTCCAAAAAACTTGGTGTCTGAACATCCTTCACATCTCTCGAATTCTGTTTCTGTGCTGGAATCTCTTGTTTCGAGTTCAATCACGGGTTTGTGTGTATATCTAACACCCTTTTTCCTTTTCGAGAGTATTGCTCCTTTAAAGGAATATTCCCATTTCAGGGCATCTTTTCAATCCCACCATCCCTCTACTTGAGAGGGGAAAAAAGCAAACAACAACAACAACATGAGATATTTTTAAGTGAATGCTGTAGTACTTTCTGTGTGCAATTGCAATTTTTTATTCCAGAAATACTGTAACTGTCTAGGGTGCAAAACTCCCATGCTGACCTATTCTGAAAAGAAGATCAGCATGGGGGGGGATATTTTTTAATTACTATTATGATTTTTTTTTAATTTGAGGAATCGGTTGGGTTTTTTAATTATAATAGTCTTTAAAGAAGCTAGTACCAATTTTATATAACAGTTTAAAAGAAGCTGAATGCTTTCTTCGCCTGAATATACCTGAAAAGAAACATTTTTTTCAATCAGTGATCCTTTGCAGTGTTCTGAGAAAATGCTGAGAGGTCTTTTCAGTTGTTTCATTTTGTTTTGTAAAGAAAACTTTTAACTGGTGTCTGTCCCTTTTCAGGAGGGCAGAACTCATTCACGCCAAGCTATAGACACACGGCAAAGTTTCTAAGAAGCCAAATTGTCACTGGTACTGTAATTCCCAGTCAAACTCCATTTCAGGCAAATGTTTCTGGGCTCTGATTATAACTGATATGATGGTCACATTTTCGTGCAAAGGGAGGGATTGTGTCTTGTCATCGCCTATCTAAATTCCCAGTCCCTTGTTTATTGTGCAGATAAATATATATATGTATACACACATATATATTTGTGAAAAGCTTTCATTTCCTTTCCCCATTGTCTGTGTCCCATGAGCAGACCCTTCTCGAGTGTCCTACTAACATTTCACTCTGTTTCTTCCCTCATCAGTACTCTGTCTCCATAAAAAGAGGTAATTTGTGAAGTGAACTTGCTGTCCCCAGCTTCTGGGTCATAAAAACAGAGGTGCCCATCCTCCAGCAACAGGCCTGCATTTCTCCTCCCAGGACTTTCTTTTGTCCTTTAATACTGGTCTAGATTTCCTCCAGTCCAGCTCCTTGAGTCTCACACCCTCTGTAAAGACTCTCCTCAGTCCTTCCATGAAGAGCTCTTCTCTGCTCATCTGCATTTCATTGGCATAAGCATGAGAAAGGAATGGATGACCAACAACCCTTCTGTTCCTTGGGGATCCTCCTTCCAAGAAATAGCATCCTCCCTTCCAAAAACACCAAGAAAAGGTCCCTCTCCCCGAACATCTCCACCTTGAGGTCTGGTTTGGAGATGTGATCCAATTCCCTGGCCCCACTGAAAGCCGGACCCTGCCGCTTCGCACCAGGATGGTGAAACGAGTCAACGAGCCGAGGCACACCCATCAGGAGTCGAGGAGGAAACCCTTCAGTGTTGCCTCTCATGAGCATCTGCAGCCTGCCTTCCCTCAGGAACGGGACTCTTGCTCCAGACCACCACACCAACAGCCGTCCTCTCCACCCCGCTACGGGAGCGGAGGGGCAAAACACTCTAGAAGTGACCTTACCTCTCAACGCAGTGCTAATTTCTCACAGCCAAACCAGCTGGACTAAGGGCTTGACATGCTCCTGCTCCAAAGTCCTCCTTCTTCGTGGCTCGTAGGATGGATAACAACGAAGGCAGGTGCCTCCACTGAGTGTTAAGACTGTTTCATTATGCTTAGCTGCATAAACTTTCTGCTCTTAGTCCTTTCATTGAATGATATCCACTGGATTTAGCAAAAGATTTCCAGTGACAACCTGTGTCAACCCTAAAGAACTGTTTCTTTTTGAAGGACTTCATTATAGCCTTAACGTAAAGCATGTGCCCTACCACTACACCCAATGAGCTCATGAGTTTGATGACCATTTCCTCTTGGGATTATATCTGTGATCTTGTTGCCAAACAGCGCCTTTTGCCAAGCCAGAAACATGGGGATCAGAATTACCCCCAGCTCTTCACTGGTACTAATCTCAATGCTGTGTCTAGTCCTCACCTCCTGGGTTTTTTTGCCCAGGGTCCCTTTGATTTTTGGAGTGCACTTTGGCAGGACGGTCAGTGACTTGTTTTGGTTTCATTTGCTTTTTAACTCCTCAGCTTCTGCCTGGTTATAGTTATACTATGTCCCACCTTCTCGCCAGACCGCATAAGGGGTTTTTCAAACTGTCGTGGAGAAGGGTGAGTCCATATTGATTCCCATCACAAGATCAATGAGCAACTTCTCTGGCACGTTTGTGCTGTTGGATTCACCCTGGGATCATCTAAATGAACCAACTATGCCATGCCAGGGCAAAGCCAGGGCACGAGGGCTCCACTGTCACCTCTGTTATATTGTCCAAACCTTCTTGGCTTGGTTTTGACCCACTCCAAGGCTCATGCATGGCTTTCACAAGCATTGATGCTGCCCAGAGACCATCCCCAGTCGGCAGCTTGGATGCAGCCACTTTGGATTTGGGGGGAAAGAG